ATATGCATAACATTCAGACCCAAATACTCGCATATTAGATATGTTAGGTTTTCTTCCAGTTAAATCGAAGTATTGCGTCTGCTCCAAGCAATGATTAAAACTTCTGTTTCATATATACGTAGCTTCCATCACAATATGGCCATAGATTAGACGAGTAGGCATCGACCCATCTCAAAGAGTGTTCTCCAATGTCGCTATGCCGTTCTATTTGATGTGATGTGGTGACTTTTTTAAAGAAGTGACTGAAATCTATGTGTTACAGTATAAGGCCTGCTTATTACTATTGAGAGAGACACCCACAGAATTCACACTGGATTCTTTCACTCTTAGAATGGTGTAGACAAGACAATATTGGTGGAAATTAAATACACATAAACCAAAATATCAATCTTTAAGCAAAGAAAAATATAATGAATAAAGAGACTAAAATAGGGGATTGCCAAGGGAAGTGTGCATTGGTGATAACTCACAGTTCCAGGAGTATTGCTTGCAGAAAAATTCTGGAGGGCACCGCTGATAGCAGGAAATCACAGAGTAGTTCATACAAGTCTCACAGAATGATGATTGAAGCCAATCAGAATGTGGTCTTGCTGGCAGCTGTCTCACGTGGGCAAGTCAGTAGATCGTAAACATCATTTGTTGTGAAAATCACAAGCACATTTGTTTGATTCCAATTGTCCTTCCAGAGTTGTAAAACGTATGACCTGTCAATCACTTTATGACAGTTGTCACATGGCAATGCACACCGTTCCTTCCCATGCACACTTCTATTTGCAAAGTTTGTGGTAATATGACAAAAACATAAGAAAAACATCCTTGTAGAATAATTTCAACCTGGCCTGAAGTTGATAGTTGCTTCCTTTTCCGTTGCTGCTTATACAGAGAAAATATCTTGTGGGTATGACGGAATATACAAAACATTTTTCATTGTTGCCTTGACTTGTTTTCCATTTGTATCATAAATTGATACACCCACATCTCCTCTCTTTAGAGCAATATTATTTGACTTTGATCTATCAGCAAGCTCAATGTAATGTTTATCAGAATAGAATTGAGTTGTCAAAATTGGAAAATTTTGACTCATCTGTAATAATGTAGGCAGTTGCACCCAGTCAGTCGTCTGATGACATATTACTTTTCAAGCATGTGTCACCTGCTTTGAATGCAAATGAGTGTTCGTTTTCTTGACTAAAACGATCATCAACTTTCGCCATGTGGTCTTTATCTTTACATTTACGACGACATGCCATATCACTATGTTTGGTGTTTTTACAATGACTACACCAGAGTCTAATATTCAACGTGTTTCTACATTTAATGGATTTATGGCCTGGTTTCCCACAGCTATAACATACTACAGTGTTTCTTGATTGTAATTCTTAGCATTAGTTTTAATAACAGAATCATTATTTATTACAATGCGGGCCATTCAGTTTCCTTCAGAACTTCGAAGCGCTGCTTAACTCGATGACGGTTTCTTCAGTTTGCGTTATAACCACGATAAATGGTGTGTAACTTTCAGGCAGGCCTTTCAAAACCTTAGCAATCAGTAAATTGTCGGAAATAGTTTCTTTAACATTTCTAAGAGCTGCAGTTGCCATCTCTGTAATCGGCTACAGTATCATTCAATGACTTCACTAGTGAAGTGAGTTCTGTACAAGGAAATTACTCTGGGTTTACCTGTACCAGCGTAGTGAGCTCGCAGTATTTTCAATGCTTTCCTGCCATCATCTATTGCATATATCTGTAGTCGTATGTATCCAATGAATTTTATCTCCCATAGTTCTTATTTAGTTTCATTCCCATCGAATATCAGTCTTGTATAATTTCCAAGGAACCCTCTGCCGTGCCCATAACCTGTTTGAGGTGCTGGATTATGCATAATGGGGGAAATTATGTAGGATTGATTGGACTACAGTAAATAAACAGAGATGTCAACACAGTATTAACGTATAACTGGAAGAACTCTTTAATACAAAAATCAAAAGTTCCCTCAAGAGGGCGCTATAACATCAAATCTTGTGTGATAATGAGATGATACATTCTAACACAACGAGTACAAACTGAGACGTTACCATGCTTCAATTAGGTCATTTGTTCGGTAAATGAAAGGCATCGAAAGAGTCGCCGGCGGTAAAAACTCGTACTCGTGATTTTATTGAAATGTCGCACATGCGCAGCGCAACCGCCACCGTTCTTCAAGCTTTTAAAAATTAGCCATTTCAGTGGTTCCCAATTTACTATTACTTACACTATTACTTACGGATGAGATACAAACATCACACTAGAAAACCACTTACAGACAAGATGCCAACAACACACAAGGCAGCCACATTTACGGATGAGATACTGGCATCACACTAGGCAGCCAATTGCAGACAAGATACCAATACTACATTCGACAGCCAATTGCAGTGGGTTGCCAACATCACACTAGGCAGTCATTTACTAACCAAATACAGACATCACCCTGGGCAGCCAATTGCAGCCGAGATGCCAACACCACATTAGGCAAAAACTTTCAGATGAGTCATCAACACCAGGTTGCACTTACAGACGAGATACTAACATCACGCTGGAATTAGAATCAATAACCTTATCTTATTTTATTTTATTTCATATAAACATAGTAAACTTGATAAAATATCAGGAAGTCAGTATTAGACGTAGGCTAGCAAGTGAATCCACCATTGGGTGGAGTGACAATGATAGTAAAAATTACAATGAATCAGCATTTCCAGGTTGGTTGTTGTACATTAAATTCGGAATAAGGCTACACTATTTTCTGACTATATTGTAGAACATAATATTGATGCACTTGCAATCACAGAGTCATGGCCGAAAGCCAGTAGCGATGAACCAGTTGAGACGCCAACATCACACTAGGCAGTCACTTAAAGACGAGATACCAACAACACACTCGCCAACCAATTGCAGTTTAGATGCCAACAACACATTAGGCAGCCAATTGCAGTTGAGATGCCAACATCACGCTAGGGAACCAATTGCAGTTTAGATGCCAACAATACACTAGGCAGTCACTTACAGACGAGATGCTAAATATCACGCTAGGCAATTTCAGTCGGGTTGCCAACAGCACATTGGGCCGCGACATACAGACACAATACCAACATCACACCAGGCACTCACTCACAGACGAGGTAATAACATCACACTAGATAGACAATTGCAGTCGGGTTGCCAACAGCACATTTCACCATCACATACAGACAAGATACTGACATCACATCAGGCACTCACTGCAGGTGAGATACCACCGTCACGCTTGGCAGCAATTTACAGATGAGATACGCTAGACAGCCACTTACAAAAAAGATACCAACATCACCCTAGGCAGCTAATTGCAGTCCAGAAATAAGGCAACAACTTACAAACGAGTCATCAACATCACACGAGACAGCCACTTACAGACGAGGTACTAACATCACACTAGGCGGCAAATTGCAATGAAGTTGCTAACACCACATAAGGCAGTCACCTATGGATGAGATACGAACAACATATTAGGCAGCCAATTGCACTTGAGATTCTAACACCACACTAGGCAGCCAATTGCAATCGAGATACTAACATTACACAAGGCAGTCACTTAAAGACTAGCTACTAACACCACATTAGTTGAGTTGAGTAAATAGGAACTGTTACAGCCATTTTAATTATGAGCATTAGCAAACTTCTTACTGAGTGAATTGTTATGCAAATTAGCAATTATCTCAGCTTCTTTTTAGTGCACGTCCCAGAACTTTAAAAACAATAGCTCCTAGACGTTTTGACCTTTTGTTTTGAAATTTTCACAAATGATTGACAATGTGTTTATATATCGGGGCATTGTTTTTGGTTGAACAGTGTTACAACAATCGTACAGACAACTCGCCTGGGTGTTAATTCATGCATAAACTTGAAGTAGTGAAATTTGGGCTGCTGCCCTGCAAAATTGACAACTGGTAGACAGATTTCAAGACATCACTTTCTTCATAGTAAACAGATGTACCCACAAACCAATTTTGACAGGAAACAGAAGCATGGTTTAGGAGCTAATATTTTTTAAATCACTTTTGACCAAAAAAGCACATTTTTGTGCATATTTCAAACTACAGTGTCCATAAAAAAAATACTAACAAAATGTATACAATAAGCTTTCCGAAAACATATAGTTTTGTGGACAAGGGAGGTCATCTTAGTTTCCTAATTAAAATACCTGTCAGATAAACTGCATCTCTACCTTGAAAGCATCGTCTGATAAACAAGTAGATATATCAGAAAGTCAGTATTAGACGACGGCTAGCAAGTGAATCCACCATTGGGTGGGTGACAATGATAATGAAAATAAAAGCTATGCAGAAAAACCGTCTTTATTTTGATGGACAGTGTCATGGATAATAGATAAAGATGATATCCCATATGAAGCCCTTAAAAACGCGTGAAATGTGACTATCGGTACATACCACGCCCTAAAACTGTGTGCTGCAACTGTGTGCTGCAAAAACGCAGATTCAATTTTATCTTCCTCATTATGCAAACTAGGGTTCAACATTGTGGACTAGTAAATAATAATGTTACTAGTCCAAAGACCAGTGTACTTTTTCAAAAATCGTGCATATTTTTTGTGCCCTATGTAAATAAAATCAATGTTAGCACAAATACAATAATGACTAAATATTGAGTGTTAAGTCTAAATGTTGTGTCCATTTCTCAGTAACTAAATCGAGACCGTCCATGTAAAACTCGGTACACATATCATGTCAACATTTAGCCACATATCTACCTATCTTTCTATATATCTATATATCTATATATTACAAATAACGGATTCTGATTTTCGGACTCAGATACTACTATCCTATATGTTCACTTCACTAATAATTTATAGGTCTTTCAAATGTTAGTATACCAACCTAGGCTAACATGAAATATGTTTACAATTATTGTTTGCTTTTATATGTACATCTTGTTGGAAAAATCATCTATGGTAGAATAATTTAACCAAGAACGATGTCGGCCATATATGCTCGGTTACGCGAACTTTGAATATACCCATTATGTAAGGTATGTCCTTGCCGGAAGTGCATTTGAAAGTCGGGATGTGTTTTTGTTGGGAAGTTCTTTATCTTTGCAATTCCAGTCTCAGCGACATAGCGTGTTAGTAGAACTGTCATCAGCTGCGGGTAACAAGTCAAAAAAAAATTAAAAAGTAGTTAGAAACAAAATGAATAAAATGAAACATCATAAGTGAATTGGATGTAAATGATAATAGAATCGCGATACACAACAAATCCATTCCAATAGAACTGGAATAATTCAGTGTTATTAATACATTGGATCTTAAAAGTAATATGTTAATAATCCCTTTTTTAGATTTTGTAGCGGGTATATCCTGTGTAAGATTTTAACACAGAAATGCACGGATATCTGTAACTACCAATACACTAGTACAGCCCAAACATTACAATTTATCATACAGTTGTCGAAAACCAAGTTATGTTTGAAATTGATTGCAATTATCAAATAAATTGATGTTGTATGTCTAGTGCTGGAATGAATGGTATCACGTGCACATGAAATAAATGTGCCTTGAGTGAATAAAATCATTATACCTCGTCATATGTTAAAGGTGTTTTCAATGAATGTTCCTGTCTCAGGTAAGTGCCACCATTCATCTGAAAAAATAACCAAACTATACATTGCATTGTGCAATCAACGTTGTTATTACAATTGTATTAATGTGCCGAATAAAATACACTATTTATCAACAAAATCCTAATACTTCAATGTGGAAACATGGGCAATCAATTGTACATATACATATATATATATACGTTTTTTTGTCAGTTGATCATATTAAACCTCAGTATTTGACTCATTCATCTTTCGGATGTATTCGGACTCACATTGCACGCCATCATCAAATTTGCACTGTTTGCTGAAACCGACCATCTATGGCTATCCCAACGACCCTCTTGCGTAATCGTGTTAGGTTAGAATAGCTGCATAAACCCCACTGTATGCTTTGATGCAGTTGATCTTAAAATCTTCAGTGTGTTGCTGAGAGGTGGAAGTACAAGGCGCGGTCAACATAATTTCCCCCATCAACAAATCACTATCTAATGTTGACACTGAGTCCTCAGAAACCAGGACCACATCTACTTTACGGGACTTCAGTGCTTAAAATAACCCCACCCTCTCAACAACACACTAAAACTTTCAGGCCAGCTGCTTTAACGTTTACAGTGGAAATTATGGCCAGTAACACCATGGCCTGCCTCTCGCTAATGCAAGACAAAAACAGCTGCAACGATGATTGGCTAATCGTTCTGTCAATCAATTGGTCGGTGTACAATGTTACTAATATCATGGCAATAATCACATGCAATTATAGACGAACACTTGTTACCTGAAAAGTGTCCGTAGTGCCCTCTATCGTCCTTTCCTTCGTACAACAAAATGAAGCTACTAAGGCATTGACACACGAGACGGATGGTATGATATTATATGGAGCTGGCAATACTGGAGCGTTGAAGTAGTCAACCCATATCTGTGTTCTACGAAATTTCCAAAGCATGTCAATGCTTTCCTGTATTTTGAATATAATGAGTATACCTCATTCGTTATTCAGGGAAAAATTATCTTGTCGTTCGGCAAATATATGTTTATTCAACATCACAACACCGACTACAAATAGTAATGCAGTATGGTCTAAAGAATAACAATAACAAATGATCTACCTGTTTCATAATACAGTCGATGAAAGAAAAAAAAACAGAATTTCGTCTAAAAATGAAAGAAGGAAAACTTATGACTTTTTCCCTGTATTTCTTAATTTGTAGTTTATGTGATTCATGCTATAATCACAAATGTCATTTATATTTCACAGGTAAATGTAATCTATGGTTGTAAATTCTTATTTTAGTCATTGAACTTCGTAATTTGTGATTTATAATGGCCGCTATATAGTAACTTATATAATTTAATAAAGATGTCATATCTACGTAGAAAGGTATTGAATCTATTATTCATAATAATCGAAATTAATCAAAATAGTGATTTGTCCCTAGAATTTGTTTTTTACTTAATTCGATTTCATTATAATTGAAAGGGAGCAATGATCTGACAAAGATGATAAATTATATATTTTAAATAAGGCATTGTATGTTTAGCGTGTAGCCTTTTCATATAAAACCCAACACATGTATAAACACGCATTTGTAAACCCAAACACACGTTTATCAGTTGTTTTCATATGATGTTCTCTTCTTTATCATAACTATTCTTGTATTTAACTGTGTATCATATTTGTAATATGAACCAAGAGATACAAATTTGATGCAGTCCCCTTTTTATAAAATTGTTCAACTCCACAGTTTGCATTGAAATCACCTGTAAAAATTGACTTTCCAGACTATTTAATAATACATAATTCTAAATTCTGATAATTGTCGATTCACCTATTGCATGTGAAAATGTCGCCGGTGGAAAGTAACAGCACATATTTATATATACTTTGAACTAACGATAACCAATTTGTTTCTACATATAGTTGTCATCGTCACTTTCCGATATCTCAACCCCTCTTTTTTGAGAAATTTTTTGATTATATATCTTATACGGAATTATTGAGATCTCGCTATGCGCGAGAGAGTCACACGACTTGTGTTCACCCTTCAAATGGTGCTTTATTCCTTCCCGTTTTCTGTAGAAGTATGTGCAGCAATTATATTATAAAAACATTTCATATTCAGAGCAGTTTCCGTTTAACACACTGCTTCTAGGATATCAAAGACAACAGTTGACGTAATATATTTATTATAATAAGACTCAAATGTAGAAGAAAATATCACCTTTAATCTGGCATAGGTGTCTGACATCATTGCGATGCAGATATTGAGCAGTACGACCAATGTGGACGTTCCGAACAAAATATAAAGCCAGTATCCTATCACCCAAAATGGGCGAGTAGCGTCGTATTTGCCACCTGTTGTGTTGTATAGTACCTCCACTTTGAGATTTGTAGACGCATCGGCTCCGAATATAACCGTAATGAGAGTTGCAACAGTTGAGCTAAACCTGAGAGTGTGAGATATAATAAAGATGGAAATGTTTTTTTATTCATAAGTCAACGTGAATGTACAAGATGAGGTGTATTGCCCATAATGATTCTTTATGGTTTGAGATGTGGTTATTAATTGATTAGTTTATTTACATGAGGAAAAATATCAGCCGTCTAAAGGTTAATTGTTAATATTTTGATGTTATGATTTATTAAGAGGGCGGTGAGAATAAGTTTGCTTTTTGTTTCCCGGAGTTTGGTTATTTTTTATTCGTAATTTACTGAATATGACACCCAGATTGCCGAGAGGGTAAGCTTCACTAATATAAGGTATTAATATTTCCTATTAGATAACTTAATAAATATATTTCTTTATTGGCACCAAACAAACCGTTAAATTAAGATATCCAAGTCGAAACAGTCGAAAAACGACACATATTAATAAATTGCGCCCTCATGTGACGTGGTGCTGCTGTGACGTATGTAACGTAAAAGGGTATGCACGGTCGTTCACATTGACAGCCTGATTAGGAAACGTCATTGAAAATGTATCAACAATTTAATATTATTTTGTATTGTCGAACGCCGCGAACACATCAAACAGACAGATTTGCGAAAGTGTGGTGTCTTGAACCTTTTTGGTATAATCATTTTTATTAATAGACTTGTCCGATCAGATACAACATCGTGCGATATGAGATGAGAATTTACATGCATTCGGAATACACCCCCAGACGGCACAGGTGAACTGGTCATTGTGTAGAACAGGTACATTGTACTCACTCATTGAAAGCCGTCTTATCCACTCCAACGTACATGTAGTAAAATCCAAGAGCGAATGAAAGAACAACCATTGCAAAGATGCACAGGAAACGGACAACGTCGTCCTTCATGGCGGTGAACAGTAACAACATGGATCCAAGGTACAAACTATTATAGATGTAATGCATGAAGCGAATGCAAGCCAGGATGAGAATTCCTGGTGTCCACAGATCTTTGTACAGTAACATGTACAGCAGGTTTCCAACATGATTATACATCAAGAACCGCATGATGATATCCACCAAAAATGACACCAAAATTATAATATCGATATAAGTTAACACGTTCACAAAATGTGCTTTGCCGCCATGTCTAACCACCTGGCGGATCTCCTTCAAGAGGAGGGCTATGTCATAAACAAATATAGTGACGAGGAAGCGAGAGTAGAGCGTGTTGCTCGACACATCACCCGGACTATCTATAATTATATTCAAGACAATTACTAAAACCAAGAAGTTAAAGCACGAAAACATATCCATAATAAACTTTGCTTTGGGGTTGTCCAATATCTTAGTGACTGGCGAACACGGTGCTATTATGTAAATGAGTGCGAGTATGGGCATCAGACACTCGTAAACTAAGACGCAGTAAAGCCCATACAGGATAGTCCACAACCAACCGTTTCGTGTGTGCCACAAAGGCTGTCTATCTAACCATTCCTTCTTCACAATTTTCTGACATTTGGGATGACCAACGAACTACAGTGATAGAACAGAAATTAAATTTTAAATCTATCAACGCGGGTTATAGGTTATAGATTCAGATTACCAGTGAATCAGTGACGGGGAGGACACCCTCGTTCAATCGCCCGAAGTTTATAATTTTTGCGCTTTTATTGAATTACCAGGCTGTAATTAAATTCGCATGAGCGGCTATCTTGAAAATATGTTTTTGTGCGCACGACCATTGGATGTGATAACTTTATTAGCGTTTCGTCTGCACATGTGCGCAATGTCAGTTTCATAAATGTCCGGGGTCGATATTTTATTTCAAGTTTTGACCGACTTTGTGTCTGCAAAGTTTTCCATTAATGTGATTTTTAGTCTAGCGACGATAGATTCGGACACATATATCGAAATATCTCAATACCAGATGTTAACCAAGGTACGTGATGGCCGCATATGCACATGGGTTAGCGTATTACCGAATGGAAACTATGTCATGCGAGTTTAATAAAGTTACTACTTAGTTTGACAATGCATAAGCCTAGTGCACATATATTTAATTTCGGGTTTAATTTAGATTTAGATTCAGAATTTAATGCTCCATATTGATATTTAGTTTATAATACATTTGTCATTGTAAATTTAAGGAGTAATAATTATTATTTTTTTAGTAATTAAACCATCCACTGGTTACGAACGAGCGAACTGCAGAACATATTTTGTAGATGGACGCTATATGATTCTCACGCAAAATGCACCAATATAGCGACATTTACATATAAACAGTCATGTAAAAAAATGCAACTGACAACACCAACGCGGTCTAAATGTATGGCTTCATATTGTATTGTTCTATACCAAATTTAAATGTTATCCTGTAACCTGAATCTATAACTTGCGTTTTGTACCTCTTAATTTGAATGATATAATATAGAATATTGCGATGTTAAATGACGTATACAATCAACAAAAACACAGGCAATGATAATGAGTGACCAAAGTATATGCGAACACCAAATCGATTACTTGTGTACAAAACGGACGTGCACTTCCCTGTAATATAAATAACTGAATAAGTTAACCGACCTGTTTCTGGTCTGTTACCAGTGCTCTTTTTAGTAGACTGAAGGGTGGGTCCACTGTTCTTGTAGCCGTTTCTCTACCATTCAATAAAATGTATACTTCTTGGGAGTTAGTGCAATGTTCCAAGATTTCACTTGCAAATGCCCGTATGCTGTTACTGAGTTCATTGTACATTTCCTGTCGTCGGTGGTAGATGAATGAAGCATTTCAATTAGGGTATGATACAGGGTAGGGTAGGGTAGGGTACAGTCACAATCACAGTCACAGTAGGGTACAATCCCAAACATCGCCATCCACAACAATCGTCATCCAACTTCGAAAGTTATGGTCATACAGTTGTGAACTTAAAGAGCCAATAAGGCTGGCCTTACAATTGTTGCTCCAAGAGACAGTCAGGAAATGAATGAATGAATTAATGAATGAATGAATGAATATTTCTTACCTGGGAGGTGTCTTCAATATTTCTTGATTGTGCCATAGAGTCAATATCAGTTGAAAGGTCAAATGCCGCCTTCACTGGGTCTATGTAAGCTAAACTAATGTATGCGGGAGTCGACATGGCTCTATATATCCTGTAACGTAACCCATCCTCTGATATATCTTCTCGTATACCTAGAGTCATTTTACAGACGTGGGGAATAACTTGTTATTCATACCTAATCTTCTGCTGACCTAAAATTGTAATCCAACTGACTGACTATTCTATACTTGTACTATGTGGCATTGATTATATTTAATATATATAACTAAGTGGTTTAGACACACAGCTAGAATACATATGCATATATCGCAATTGACATATCAATTAAAAAGTATTGTTAAATATTAGCGCCTCTGTAACGGTATGATGACACATATTCATTTCTTTATTCGGTATGAAGTGGTGGGGTGTGATAATTCTGATCAATTTTCTTTGTTATTTTATGATTAATGCTATTGTTCTTTACTGACTCGTTTTATATCGTTTCCGGTAAGTCTGACGTACTTTTCGCTAGTTTTGTTGGTTATTCACGTAACTTTCTCTTGGTATATGACGCTGTTCATTGGACATGCTGTTTTCTTCTGGCATTTGCATAGCTTGTCAGTCGTGGTGTTTTTATCAGTAGCAAGTTGGCGTGTTTTTTTTTTTTTTTTTTTTTTTGTCAATTGTGTGTTTTATATGTTTCTATATAACGATAGCTGAATTTGATTTCTGTTGACATTTTTTCAATGTAAATAAACAAACAAAACCCAGAATGAGTGTTTCATCATCTATTCTGTTGGTTAGAGGAAATGTAAGCTTATTTATTAATGTGTTTCTTTATGTTAGTAAAGACGGAATTTCAGCAAAAAATGCGCCCCATCTTCGATGTCTTTGACAATGTTTACAAATAGCCCATTTGCTTTCTGAAATATCAACATTGTTAAATTCTTTTCAATTTGTAGAATAAGCTAATTCTTAATTAGCTACAACTTAATCTTAACGAAAATAAATATTTTTCAAATGAGACTATATGTGCACAGTTTACGTTTTGTGCTCCCTTGTCATCATTTAATGCTTTTGTAATATTATCTTAGAATTTAATTTTCAATTGTTCGAATATTGTTTTAATTTGTCCATTTCTGTCTTCAGATTTTCCTTTTCCCAAAGGCTTCATATTTATCATATTTAGGAAATGTTTAATGATGGATACTCAGGTTTGTATACCAGCATTGTCTAGTTGAAATCCATGTGCCAGTGTGTTGTCTGTCATTTAATATGTTAATTCTTAGCCAATATGTCATCATTTTTTTTTATGCATAACAAACTAAGTGAGACCTAGTTCTAGGGCTAGGCTAGATTGGTTGCTCGGCTACTTACCTTTAGAAGGATTTTAAAATATTATATGTGAGTTTTTTTTCAATTGGGAGCAGATGTTATCAGACCATACACCAGAGCAGTATAACAGAATGGGTCTAACCATGGTATTGAATGTTTCTGAATACAGTAGTTGTTTCATGGCCCTATCGTTCAGGTCGAATTGTGTTTTCCCAATTGTCCCTTTTATGTTTAATATTATTCCTAGGTAAGTGAAACACCGTTTCAAACTACATTTAATGTGCAATTTGAAATTGTTGAGAGCTTTTCCTCTTTTATTGAATATTATAGTTTTTGATTATGTTTAATTTACAGTTTTGCAGTATGTTTCCAGCTTGTTTAACGCCATTTGCAGCCTAGTATTAGTTCTTACAGAAATCATCTGCAAAGAGTAAACAAGGGATATAGTTCCTCGGTAATGCTGGGGTGTCAATATCGAGTGATTCAGTGTACAAGGGACTTATCTACTTGTCTGATACTCCCTTTAATAATGCAATTATTTAGTTTCACAAAACTCACGGAGTTGTTGTAATGTATAGTACACGGCCTACCAGTTCTAGTAAACGCTGCATTTTTTACTGGAAGGAACAGTTTTTCATTATGTTCAAACCCCATCATTTTACACTAAACAAATAAAATGAACTTGTATCATCATGCCGACAAAAAATTAAAGGCACTATTATGTAACAATAAAACGCATATGTTTAATAAATTCAATAATCCTAATACGAACCGTTTGGTATCGACGGTCTTTTCAACTCGTAGGCCCCTTTATCTAACAGCAGTTTAACCATATAAAAATCGTTTTTCTCTGCAGCTAGTAAAAGCGCCGTTACTGGTTGAGTTCTTCGTTTGCCGACACAATTTATGTTGACTTGGCCAGTCTGTAAACACGTAGAAATATGGAGAGATGAAATTGCCAAATGTAACGTAAAATAATGCTTATATATGAACCTTTGCAATTGTTACGTGATAAATATACTAAACCGGTTACTGACATCATTTAAATGTCTTATGCAAGTGTAGTCATTATTTCTGCTGGTTATTACCACTAGCGACGAATACAAAATACATATCGACGCCGTGCTAATATCAATATGTGTCAACCCTTTAGAGAGTATGCCTTTATGTTAGGTCATTATGACGTAGATGATTTATTGGATTCACCCACCACTCACATCTGGTATTAATCCAATGACTTAATCCATCCGTCGGTCGTTCTACTGTACGTGTGTGATTCACACATTGTGTAGACATTACGTCAGAGTTCTTGTCATGTACACATAACATGTGACACTTTTCTGATCACTGGCTGGCTATATTTTGACCAGAGTTGCAGGTAGACTAACCTGGTGTACATGATAAATATGGCATGTCAAATGTCAATCGTATAATGGAAATAGATGAATTACATTTCAATTTTAATTTTAACTTTTGAAAATAATTTGAATATCAAAGTGGAGGCGACACGTGTATAACAGAATTGATTTAGTTCTGAAATACCAACTGATAATTGTAAGACTTTTTTACCGAAACATAATGTCAGAAAATGTACTAGAATCCTGATGCATTGATTCAATATTTGAAATATATGGTTGTATTTGTGATAAATTATATCCTAATTTGTTATCTAAACATGTTGAAAAATACCCTAAATTATACAGATTGCATATTTAAGCATATATGTATACAGATATGTATGTGTATGTATGTGAGTATATCATCTGTTCACAGAAGGGGCCATTAAAAGGATGGTTAGATCATCAGATCATTGCAATCAAAAGAATATTTTAGTCATCGTCGTTCTGAGAAATAAAACTAAGATTGACAAACGCCTTCTATGAGTTCGAAGAAATTATGAACTAGCATTATGAAAAAAAAACTTAGAGTAGAAGAATTAGATATCTAATAAATATTAGTTCTCTTAGCGTTGTTTCATCATGAAACAGATTTATCGACACGAAGGGAACATTTGTGTAAAGACATAACATATTGGCAACGGGAAAACTACGTACTCGTTTCATTAAATTACATCGTTTGGGAAGATAGTTCAATGTTGAAGACACATGCGACGTAATGTTTCATTTCAAACCAAAATACTGATACTGAAATGTGACATGCTGTTTTGTTCAGTGTCTGTGGAGATAAAACATGTAGTTTTATGCGAAGCTTAGTTTTGACTGATAAACCGTCTGACAAGAAATACAAATGACCATATGAAACATCATCCGCGACCATGCCCATTTATATCCATGGATATATCCCAAAATACGATTCTGAATTTTCCTTATTGTGACTGATGTCGATTCCAAATGAATTGATGTATGTCCAGACGGCACTACAATTAAACTGAGAGTACTATTCTCATTGCATAGATTAATTGCCAACTACAATGATTCCCGGTTCACATGTGCAAATGTGATTATGCACCTGACACCTTCGCCATACTGGGTCAAATATCCTGACAGGACGGTCAATACAGTTCAAAGGAGGAATGATAAAACCTTGTAGCTGGAGAATGGACAAATGTGTCACGATTTGTATTTAAATATACGTGACGCCACACTTAAAAACGAAAACAAACTGCTGCTTATGGGGCGAAAATTAAGGACATATTTGGATGCATTGAAACCAGACAAACAAACAATAATATTTGGTGCACATACAAGGCAACAATCATGGCATGACACAGATAAAATAGTCAGATATTTCGAAGTTTAAATGAACCTAGTATAATATAGGTCGTAACAGGCACTGTGGTATTTTACACATGAAAATAATGACCGGGAAATGCAGCAACTATTGTCACATAGGATTGAAGAGATTACATGGAGTCTTTCATTGTTAACTGTATCTGCTGCACCCAAAGCTATGTTGAGGGTTGCCATGCGCATTAGTTTTTCCTGTTGTGTGATAATTCATGTATTTTTATTTCATAGAATGAGTTTAACATCAATCAGATGAATATTCGTAGATAGAAAGAAATGTAGAGTAGATTTAATAAATAACAAGAAGACATTCAGAAGTGATTTGTACTGGTAAACGGTTATAGTAAGAACACCTCATGTTATGTTAATAAAAGCAGTTTACGCCTAACTGTTTTGACTTGTTATATCTCACCGGAATATCGTCATTGATATATTATGACATTATGTTGGTAACATTACTATGACATTATGTTGTGAGTTATCACGATAGTTGGGATATCAGCTATCATAGTAACATTGATACATTATGACATTATGTTGTGAGTTATCGCGATAGTTGGGATATCAGCTATCATAGTAAC